TCCATGTAGTTTATGATGGCTTGTATGACCCTAAATGAGAATTTTTCTTAAAGTTAATGCTCTTAATTATTAACTTATCATTTCTGATTTATTAATGAAGCTTGAATCCCCCCACAGAGCGTAAAGTTACAGTTATCTCAGTTATTTTTTAAATAAAATGTGTTTTTTTTCCTTTGGTCTCATTTAGGAAGGTAATTGATTGAAATAAATTTTCCCCAGTCTTGTTTTTCCTGTCCTTAAAGGGGTCTGCTTTACAGAGTTCCTTACAAGTCAAAAAAATATAAAGTATGATAGTTTTTCAGGTCTTGAGTATAAAACTTTTTTTTTTTCCATACTACAAATTCTTTTACTTTTCCTTTTTGGTTCCTTCTTCCTTCCTTTGTCAGGTCCTGTTCTTGAACGTGTCCTTATTTCATATTTCTTCCTTTCTTCTTGCCTACTTTCTTCCATCCTAGCCTTGCTTCTCCTCTTTATTTACCGATTTACTCGTATTATTCCTTTTTGCTGTTTCTGGTGTCCTTTATTTTTTCCCATTTATTCTTTGTGTCCTTAGATCCTATCGTTTTTAAAGACACACTGTTGAAGGGAATTTGCAATAAATCCAAATATATTGTTTCTATTTTAATATTAATGTTAAGGACTTACAATAAGGAAATGTCATCAGAGCTGTACAAACTAAATTTTGCTTTATATACACTCTTTGTATACAAAATGACAATAAATGTTGTCTAAGTCTAGAACAAGGCAATCAAACAAAGCAATCCAGAAATCACAATATTATTATTTTTTTTTTATTTATTTGTATGATACGTATTTGAATACCTGCCACTCAGTAAAAAATCAGGCCTCAAACACCTATTAGTTCACTCCACTCTATGCAAGATCTCACTTTGTGGCGTATCACAAGTAATGAGTAATCAACCCAGAACTGTCAATCACCTGAAGAGAGCCATCACCGCTGTTTCCATTACATTAAGACGTCATGGTTTAAAATCCTACATTTTACAGAAGGTTCCCCTGCTTAATCGGCACACATCCAGGCCATCTAAATGGCCATTTGGATGAATCAGAGCAGTCATGAGAGAAACAACTTTTTGGTAAATCCATTAATCTTCCTTGGAGGTACAAGAATGATGAGTACCATCTGAAGAACACCTTCCCTACTGTGAAGCATGGGGGTGGTAGCATCATACTTTTAGGGTGTTTGCTGCACATGGGACAGGGCGACTGCACTATATTAAGTAGAGGATGACCAGGGCCATGTATTACGAGATTTTGGGAAACAACCTCCTTTCATTAATTTGAGCATTGAAGATGGGTTAAGACTGGGTCTTCCAACATGACAATGATCCGAAGCACACAGCCAGGATGACCAAGGAGTGGCTCTGGAAGAAGCATATCAAGGTTCTGGCGTGGCCTAGACAGTCTCCAGACCTAAACCCAATAGAGAATCTTTGGAGGGAGCTCATACTCCATTTTTCTAAGCGACAACCCAGAAACTCCACTGATCTAGAGAGGATCTATGTGGAGGAGTGGGCCAAAATCCCTCCTGCAGTGTCTGCACACCTGGTGAAAAAAATACAGGAAACGTTTGACCTCTGGAAATGCAAATAAAAGCTATTGTTCCAAAAAATAACTTCAATTTTCTCAGGTGTTGAAATTCTTATTTACAGCTGTAAATAGTTTAAAAAAATATATACATATAAATTGTGATTTCTGGATTTATTTCTTTCATTTTGTCTCTGACAGTGTACCTGCACCTAAGATTTTAATGCAAGACCCCCCCCCCCTGATTTGTAAGTGGGAGAACTTGCAAAATAGTTGGCTGTTCAAATACTTGTTTCCTCACTCCAGTCTGAAGGAACAGGGAACTTTTACTATCAAATAATTGAAGAAAAGTTTCAATTGAATGAAATAAATTTTTCTGAAGTTGATCCCAAATCCCGTGCTTAGGTGATTGTTAATGAGAAATGGTCAATGGCATATTAGAACTTATCGATCTTTTCTTCCCACAGCCTGGTCAGGACCATAATGCAATGCAGAGGATGATGAGCTCCAGAAGCTTGGAGCAGCAGCTCATCTCTCCTACCGCCAACGCAGTGTCTCGTTCATCCGAGATGGCATGTGCACCGTCTCGCCAGGAGCGGCACCGTGTATCAAACTACTCTGCAGAGGCTCTCATCGGAAAAAGCACCACTAGTAGCGAACAACAGCAACGCATGGCTCTCCTCCTTCAGCCTGGACGTGGCGCCACCCAGGAGCAAACAGACCTCCGTAACTACCTGGATACATCACGAGGGAAGGCCGGTATTACACACAATGCTCAGAACCGCCTCTCAACGGACCATTCTTCGTCAGGGGATCAGCGAATCTCTGAGTGTCAGTCGTTCAAGGCCATGGGGGGAGGAGGTGGAGCCCACCAGCTCAGCGGTTTTGAGGCTCAGGTGTCTCGTGGGAGTGACATGGCCCCCAAGTCGGTGCCTCCCTCTCAGCGTGGTCCGCAGGGGCAGCAGCAGGGAGGATTTAGGATGAGTGTTGGCCCCAGTGCAGACGTAAGAAATCGTGGCAACTACAGCGGCCCCCATCCCGGCTCTCAGGGGGTACAGGTTGGCCCTGTGCTGCCTCGAGAGCAGGACGGCTGCCACCAGAGTTTCATGCAGAGCCTCCTTTCCCCCCACCTTCCTGAGCAGAGCAACCATCAGCGAGCGGTTCAGTGCTGCCCCCCTGTCAGCATGGAGTACAGCTGTGTGACTGGAAGCTCCACAGGAGACATCCAGGCCAAGGCCTCCAGTCCCAGCGTGCCTCAGTCTCAGAAGGTTCCAGCTATGCGACTTGCAGAGGCCAACAAGGGCCACATTTCTCAGGTCACTAGTAATATGCATGCAGGGCCAGGTGTTCGAGCAGGTCTCCCCCACCCTCCAACCCCACATAGCAGCTCAGAACCTGGACGCTCATCCGCCATCTCCAGACCCCCCACTGCTGTCAGCCAGCATTCCCGACACATTCCCAGAGATGCTCATCCTGCCAAACTGAGACCCAGTGACAGGCCTCGATCCGGAGCCCTGCGACCCGCCAACCCTTTTGAAGCTGAGGGCCACTTACCTTTGCCTTCAGGGGGAGGGGTGCTGCTGGGCCGACCTCAGTCTGGAGGAGAGAACCGCCGCAGCGCCATTGTGCGCTTCATGTCAGACAGCGGACAGGTACCCAGTGAGAATAACATTGTCGCTGACCAACACCTTGCACAGAACTTTGGGTTTCCCTTTATTCCAGAGGGAGGTATGAATCCTCCTCCCCCCATCAATGCTAACTCCACATTCATCCCTCCGGTGAGCCAACAAAGCACCTCCCGCACACCGTCCCTCCTCCCAGTGGAGCCTCAGAACACCTTACCCTCATTTTACCCTTCTTACTCCCCAGCAGCTCACCCAAGCCTCTCCAGTGATGTCACCCTCCAGTACTTTCCCAACCAAATGTTTACAAGCCCGAGCGCGGACAAAGCCAGCGCCCCCCCTCTCAACAACAGATTCGGCTCCATCCTCTCCCCGCCACGTCCTGTGGGGTTCGCTCAGGCCAGCTTCCCTCTGCTTCCAGATATGCCTCCCATAGCATCATCTGGAATCACCCCCCACATCTCTGACTTCAGGCTCACCTCGCTGTTCCCTGAAATCGCTACCGGCATGCCAACAGACGGCTCAGCCATGCCCATGTCCCCCCTGCTGTCTCTCACCAACACGTCGTCTGCTGACTCTAGCAAGCAACCCAACCGCCCTGCCCACAACATCAGTCACATCCTGGGTCATGATGGCAGCTCGGCCGTGTGAATGGTTGCAGCCAGAATGCCGGTTGTTTAGAAACAAACCATTACGTTTTCTGCTTGAAATGTGTATCAAAGGTAAAGCACTTGATGTGAGGGGATACGTTTACATGTCCACTTTATTTCAGTTTAACATCTTCTTTGTGACATATTTAATATCAAATTAATCATTAAAAAAGTTCCTAAGGCTTTCTAATTTGTGTGGAAATGTATGCCCTTCAATCTCCTTTTTGAAATGTAAACTGGTTCTGAAGAAAATTTTGTTTTTTGATTGTTTTTTGTTGTGTTTTTGGTCAAAAGGAAACCTTCTGCACAGTTACTAATTTAATTTACTAACTTATCAGGTTTTACTGTACAAATGTTTTCCAAGAGCTATTTTGTAAATACTATTTCATATCAAAGTTGCTACATTATGTATTTGTAAGTACAAAATTGATAAATAAAGTTTATAATGATTACTTTGTAGTTATTTCCCTGGGCCTTGTCTTTGGTTTTCAACACCCAGTATACGTCATTAAAGAGATGCTTTACTCTGATAAACATTAATAGAAAATCCAGTACAGCCTGCAGGTAGTTATATTTTGTATGTCGATATACTTCAACCTTTAATGCCTTTTTTTCTATTCTGTAAAAGAAAAAATAAATTAAGTCACATTCATATGTTAGTGTTCACATAGCAGTGAGTTTGCATATTATGAGCAAAATATTAGCTTATTACCAAACCTTGGTTCATTTTTTCTTTTCTAATTTATTTACTGTAGTTTTTTGTTGTATATACGTGTATATATATATATATAATATATATATTTTATGTTCAGAGTTAATGTTAAAATTAGGATTTTAGCTAATGACAATGGCTTCGGTTTTAGACAGCACATTTTTGCCTTGTTTGATCGACTTGCGCTCGTTTTGATCAGGCACATGAGGATGACAGCATTTTCCTTTCTGTTAGCGTAGCGAATTATATTAGCCAGCCAAACACCCCAGCTCTTAAAAGAAACATGATCATCCAAACATGTTTCTTTCAGCATTTTTCTGATACTAAGAATGTAAAGACCCAAGCTAGCTATAACCTTCCCTGTTTCTGGCCATTAATCATATACCCTACTCTACTTAAAAAAAAATAGCTAATGCCTTAATGCTTGTTGTAAAAAACAAAACAAAAACAAACACCCATAATAATTTCATAAACTTTTTATTTACATGCAATAGTGCTCCAGCATGTGCAGAAAACAGCCTGCACTCTTAAGGGAGTGTAGATTCAGGATCTCCTTCATTTTGATCACTTAATACTTTCTCCTCTGAGCTGTGAGGAAAGGAATAATACTAACACAACTGTCACCAGTTCCTCACCCTAGCAGTCATTTGGTAACCAGCAAAAGAGTAAACAGAAGTGGCTGCAAAGTAAAGTTCAGCTTACTGATGACTGAGTTTTTGTTTTTTTCCAGAATCTCTCCCATTCAGTGATAAAAAAATAACGTACTCCAGCAAATAAATAACTGTACACAATATATAATCTCATGTAGACTACTGAGAACAATGATTTATGTTGCATACACTTGTTAATAGATTGTTAATGAAGAGAAAAGAATATTGAGTTACAGCTATACACAATGGCAGCTTTCAGTTGTTGAGAATGTGATGACAGCACTTCATAAAAAAACAGCATTAGATGGGAGAACTGGACCCTTTGTTTCTGCTCTGCATAAAGCTAGGCACATGTGGTCTCAACATTTGGGAAAGGATAGATGTCTACGAGGTGAGAAATAGAGGTCTGAAATAGAAGTGCTGAGTAAACAGGAATTCACAACTTTGGAAAAATACAGATTCCTGTTGTCAAGGACATAGTGTGAGCAAATATATGAATAAATCGTATATTTATATGAAAATACCCATATATACAATGTAATAAAACAATCGTATGTACAAAAGCATAAATATATAAATATCTCCAATACAAAAATAAATATATTCTCTTGTTTTCCCCTGTTCACTACGAGTCAGCATCCGTTGTGCCTGCCGTCCCCATGTTGTCAAAGGACACTTCATTCGGAAGAATGTTTATTTCCTGTATCGTGTCTTGGGATTGTTGCGTCGTGTCTCTAGAGTACGGGGGGATAAAATCTTCTTCGTCCTCAAGTGACAGGAGATGGAGTGGTTCTTCTTCTGAAGGAATGAAAGAGAAAAGATTGAATATTAATTCAAGATTTCTACCTTGGCTGAAAGAATACCTTTATATTGCTCGCAAAAACTTATTTTGGAAAACATGTACCGGTATTTATTTTCCACTTCTGAAGAAAACAATGTCCTAACCACTGTCGAATATGGTGGATGATCTATCTGGATTACATAAAAAAAAATCTGCTCGTATTAAAAAATCCAGGTGGCGCAGTGGGGTCCACTGCTGCCTTGCAGCAAGAAGATTCCTGGTTCGATTCCTTGCTTGGGGTCTTTCTGCATGGAGTTTGCATGTTCTCCCTGAGCATGCATGGGTTCTCTCCGGGTACTCCGGCTTCAACCCACAGTCCAAAAACATGAATTTTAGGTAAATTATATTCTCTAGATTCTCCTTAGGTGTGAGTGTGCGCATGAATGGTTGTTTGTACTGTTTATCTCTGTGTTGCCCTGCGATGGACTGGCAACCTGTCCAGGGTGTACCCTGCCTCTCGCCCATAGACAGCTGGAGATAGGCTCACGGCCCCAATTGGGACAAGCGTGTCGGATAATGGATGGATGGATATTAAAAAATTTTAATTTTTTTATTTTTTTTTCCAACAATAGTTCGGCTAATCTCCCATATTATGATTTTTGCCAATTTTTGAAAAGACTCTCCACTTAAAAAACAATGCACATGCACAACCCTGTACCCGCTCCCGAGAGAGAACACCTATTAAACGTGTGCGACAGCATGCACGTACCCATTTCTTCTTGTGGCGCTTTGTTTAAAAGTTGCGTTTTGCATTGCTCGTACAAGCTTACTTTTCAAAAGATTGTTTGCAATTTTTCCACTATGTCAGACTCAGCACCGGTAAGTAAAAATGGGGATGAGCATTTAGGACGACCTTACGTAAACATATCACCAGAATGATTGACAATTAGGAGGACCACTGATTTAGATGATCCACCCGGAAAAAGAACATCCTTCAATATAACTTTTAACAGTATCCCCACTTACTTTCACTAATGTTGGGCCTTCCATCACCAAACCCATCTTTGCCTCCTGCATCCTGTGAGGTGAAATTTTGAGAGGAAGACACCAGGTGCTGATGAGTGGACTCATCTGGTGAACAGCAGTTCTGTTCTTGATGATCCGTCTCCCTGAGAAAAATGAATATATGTCCACAGTTAGAGCAGAAAGTTGTCTATGTTTAGCCTGATTAAAAAAGTCAAAAAGTTAAACATAGAAAAGGGGAAAATTTAGCATAATTAAATAGAACTATGTGATAGTCACATTTTCTTTTTAGTGAGACATACCTGCTTGAGTACTGGTAATAAGGGAGGTGTCCATTTGTCTGCGGCAAAAGTGTGTCGCACTCTAGGTCACAATCCACTTCATCCTGCCCGGCAAAAATGCATAAAGTTATTCATTCAAAATACAAACAAAAGGTAAAATAATGTGGATACTTTTTTTATCTTAATCTCCTTCACACAAAGTTTTGTGAGTGCTACAGAGCTAAAGAAATCAAAGGATGTACGGTTAAAAGTTGATTTTTCTTTTCATCTTTGTTGGAGTTGCCCAGGTTCAGAAAGCTTTGGTACATGCCGTTTTTCAATTTCACAAGAATCAAGCAAATTTTAACCGGTCTGCAGGCCAAAAATGTTTTTTAGCTTTAAGGACTGATGTTGCTCTAATATACATCCTCTAATATTTGCTTACGGTTTTTGGACAACATTGGAAAAAAATCAAAATTTAGATAGGTAATTTTTTCTAAAAAAAAAAAGTGCATTTGTTCTTGTATGGAGGAGGTAAAAGAGACATTTTGCCAATGGAACAAGACAATTTACATTTCAAATAAGAAAACACAATTACATTGTCTTATTTCAAGTGCATGCTATCTAATTATATTATTTTAAGAGTAAAAATACTCATTCCATTGGCAAACTATCTTATTTACCTACTCAAATTAACACTTAATTTAAGAATTTTTTTACTTATTTCTAGATCGTTTTTCCAGTGAGTGCACCCACACTTCAAAAACAATCTAGATATATGTAAAAATGTCATAAATTAAGTGCATTTAGCCTTATTTTGAGTAGGAAAATAAGATGATCTGCCAATGGAATGGGTTTTTTATTCTTAGAATAGGATAATTAGATAATGTGCGCTTAAAATAAGACCATGCAATTGTTTTTACTTATTTTTAACATAAATAGTCTTATTCCATAGGCAAACTCTCTCAATTACCTCCTAAATGCAAGAAAAAATGCATTTATTTTAAGCAAAAATGACCTATTGAGATTTCAGTTTTTTTCTGTGCAGGAAGAGTTTTCACCTGCTGCAGTCCTGGTAGGCAGTGCTGAGCTTTTCCATTCTGGATGTATTCCCCGTTAGCTGGGTAAACACTGCGTTGAGGTGTCATGTGTGAATCCAGAGGGCAGTGTCCGACCAGGGCGAGTCCCTGCAGGGGAACCATGGTGTACTGACACGTTGATACTGGAGCAGCCACAGGAGGGAAGCACAAGTCTGATGCTTGCTCTGCAGTTAGCATAAAAAAAAAAAAAAAAACAGGTAAAAAGGGCAAAAGGAAAAAAATTCTGATGAAAAGCTTGAGGAACTCAGAGAAACACCCACTCTGCTTGGCCCAAGCTCTCCAGAGACAGAAGGGGATGAAGGCAACGATGATGCAGACAAAGGGTCCGACGATACCAACGATGAGGTAGGGGAGATCGCCAGGCCGTGGCACCAATACCCCAGCTGTTTCAGATCCTGAGTCTGGAGTCTCAGGTTCTAGAACAGGTCGCTGGTTATTAGGACGAGCTGAGAAAAACAAAAAAAACAAAAACATTATAGTCTCATAAGATATTTATGATAAAACATCATGTGCTGTATAATCTAGCATGTACAAACCTTTTGTTTCAAGGATCACTACATTTCCAAACTCGCTCTCGCCTTTCTCATTAAAGCTCTGCATCTTGATGTCGTAGGCTGTTTCTGGCTGCAGGTCGGTGATGGAATGCCAGTAGCGGTCTCCCTCCACCACATCCTTTTTGTAGTCACTGTCGTTGTCACTGTCCGTCGGCCGGTAGTAGATGTAGAAACCGTAGATGGGTGTGTTGTTCACCGGAGTGTACTAGTGAGGAGGTAACAGTCACTATCAAACCCTGTATCCTGGTACATTATTTAAAATTCCAAACAATTGTTGACTCAGATTTGCAGTTTTCAGCTCTTTACACCATCTTTTAAATTAGAGTGAAAGAAAATCCCAATGCATTTTCTGCATTTCTGCATTTTCTTCTGTTCAGGATTTAGATATAGAAAACAGGAAACGGCCAACGGGAAGGATGGAAGAGAGCAAAAGCAAGGATAGTGGAAAGACAGTGAGGAAGGAAGGAAGGAAGGAAGGAAGGAAGGAAGGAAGGAAGGAAGGAAGGAAGGAAGGAAGGAATGATCCAATGAAGGAAGGATCCAAGGAAGGAAGGATCCAAGGAAGGAAGGAGAGAAGGA